ATTATTGTGACGGACATTTCCATGATGAAATCCTAACAGGATCTCCAAGCCTATCAGCAGCCTCTACCCCCTGGGAAGTCCTCTCTCTTCCTCTACATTTTTCTTTGTAAGTCATTTGTGGCAAAAGCACTGCTGAAAGTGATTTCTGATTCTGTGGGAAGGTAAATCTGAGTATGAATTTAAGCAGAACAGAGGAAATGATGGAAAATGAAAAATGGGTGATTGCTTCTGTTGGCAGGAACACTGCCCCCTTGGGACGCAAGAAGAGATGGGACTCTTAAGTTATCTCAAGGGCTGGAGTTGAGAAATATGATCCAGTTGGAAAGACACCAGCCTGGGACACCAGAATAATCTCCAAATCTTGGTCCCCCAGTAGCAAAAGCAATGGGACATTTGGGGGGTACTGAGGCAAGGAGTCGTGTTTGTGAAGCGGGTCAGTGGGGCTCGGGTTGGGAGAGGTCTGGGCAGGAATATGGTGGAAGGGGACTGGGGAAGATGGTCACTGTTTTCAGGCAGCAGAGGAGTGGGCTGGGAACACGAGCCCAGGAATGCATGTCAGGCTGCAGTGACTGCTGAGTTCAGGGAAGTGGTTTTACTGAGGAAAGTTACTAAGAAAGGAATCTTAAAGCAAGGGATGCATACCAAGAGAGTCGTTTTGTTTTTTTTTCTTCACCTGCTACTTATGACTCCCCACAATTCTCCGAGGACGGACTCAGGTAGAGTTTGCTGTCGCTGTAGTGGGAAAGTGACTGGGTTGCATCCAGTAGGAGGAATGCCCTCTGCCGTCTTCCCTTCCACCCGAGAGCTAGCACAGCCTGGGCTTGGGAAAGGAGTGCTCAGAAATGGCAGCGTCAGAGTCTGTTTATCTAAGGCTGTTGTTTCTGAGATAGTTCTCTCTCTCCCATATTTAATCTTATACCTGCTTTGTGACACTGTATACACAAGCATGGCCCAAATTTCTCTACGTGCTATCTTCCCAGTAGTTCCTGAACCTATGCTTCTCTGATCCACTGTCTCTCCTGTAGACTGACGTAGCACCTCCTGGAGCATTACCCACAATGAGGCTCCTATCACCTGCATTTCTTATTTCATTCCCCACCTGCAAATCCCTCCTACACATTGTCCTCTGCCTCCTTGTCTTCAGTTTGACCCCCCTTTAAATCTACTTATTACATAACAATGAGAGTTTTTAAAAGTCCGCAACTGTTTGTGATTGAAGGTGGAATGACTTAAGCATGTTACTAAAATGATTGTATATTTCTAAGTGTTCCCTTCCTAAGAGAGTGTGAAGAAGACCATCAGTGAGCAACAGATTTCAACAAACACTTAAAAGATGGAAAAGCATAGGAAAGCCTGTCAGGGAGAACAGAGATTGCCAGACAAGAAGGAGGAGGCAGAAGGAACCGACCCACCAGACAGAACCTCTGAGAGGTTCTCAGTTTGCAGGCGTGGGGGGCAGAGAGAGAAAGACTACATGCTCCCCCCCATGGCGACTTCTGCCCAAACCTAGAGCTCAGGAAACCCAACTTTAAACCCTGGTGTTTTGGGATCCTGCAAGAGGTTCTCTCTAAAATTTAAGTTAACTTCTGGATAGTGTTGAAGTTTACATACGATGAAGTATCTGATGCTGGGAGCCCAGAGAGAAACATCCTTAATCCAGCATTTGAACGGTCTGTACTCCAGTAGGGCTCCTGCCAACACAGTCTTGAGAAACTACAAATGGACAATGGCCAGATGTATATAAAAATAGAATCCTAACTCATTATCTGCAGGGTTGAAGGCCAGAAAGCCAGCCTACTATCTATAAATCAGACTTACAGGAAGTTAGACAACTATCTTTGCAACCAACCCAAGAAGCCAAACAATAACCTCTCTAACAACCAGCTTCATATAGCCAGGACTTGACAATGAACAGCATCTCTAGTTTTTTGCTCTGCTCTCAGCTGAGGACCTGTCAGCTCAATTCGGTTGCTCAGTCCTGTATGGCTCTTTGCTATGCCATGGACTGCTGCAGACCAGGCTTCCTTGTCCATCAGGGACAGTCAGAGAAACAGAGGACCAGTCAGAGAAAGCCAAATATACACCTCAACCAATTACAGGAGGCCCTGCTTCACTAGCCCGCCTCCAGCTTCTCCATGCCAACAGCCTCTAATCAGGGCACCTCTGAAACCTCTCAGACTTTCTCCTTTGAGTCTCAGTCAAAATGCAAACAATAGTGGCTGACTCCTTTCCTATACAAGCTCTGAAAAAAGAAACTTTGCTCATTCTCACTTGGTGAGTCTTCAGTTAGTTCCAATCAGTGGCCTTCCCCATGAACCCAGAACTCCCCAGCTAGTCAGGAGAAATGACCCACACATACAACCATGGAGGACACCTATACCAGCTGGCTAGAAAAATCAACCCAGCGCCTCATTCTTAAATATGGACACACAGCCAAGGTCACTGGACATGGAGAAAGCCAGCAGTACATAGGAGATCAAGATAAACAGGTTGACCTTGAAGAAAATGGGTCTTTTGAGACTAGAAACAAGCTTTAAAAAATTCTAATTAGATCTTCAGTGAGATCTGAGAAGATATTGTGTCCATAAAACCAAAACCAGCAGGCTTTGAAGAACAAGGGAGTTAAAAAAGTCTGGGAAATTAAAAACACATTTCCAAAATTAAAAAGATTGGAAGATTAAGTTGAAAAACCAACAGAACAGAGAGGAAAAGAAGTAGTCTGGATGTGTGCCAGAAAGATAAGCCACCTTTTGCAACTTTTATGGAACTAAATCCAGCAATGGCTAGAAGTAGGTACATTGAGAATATACCTAAATCCCGCAGGAGCCCTGTGGTCCAGGGGCTGGCTGGGGCTGCCTGTGTCAGAGATCCTTTGACTTTTGGGTTTAGCCAAATACATGGATGCTCTGATTAAAAACAAGCAACTTAACTGCAAATCTGACAGCTCCACTTCACTCCTTGAAACCCAGCACCCCTCCCAATCACATATGGTGAGACAGATCAGTCTCTTTCCAGACCGGGACCTGCCAGGATGCAGCTCCCCCACCCACCCCTCCATCCCCGACGCCTGCCCCAGCCCCAGTCCACAACATACCCGGGTGTTCAGTGAGCTGAGCTGACTGATTTTATGGTCAGATTTGAAACTGTATTTGAAAGTGTTAGTCCATCAGTTGTGTCCGACTCTTTGTACCTCTGTGGACTGTAGCTCACCAGGCTCCTTTGTTCATGGAATTCTCCAGACAAGAATACTGGAGTGGGTTGCCATTCCCTTTACCTGGTTTCAAAGACATGTGCTTTTGCCCTAATTTGAAAAGCAAGGGCATGAGGGTACCTCTTAAAGCTTTTGTGAGAATCAAAGAAGCTAATGCCTGTGAGAAGCTTAGCAGAGCCCCAGGCACAGAGTAATCAGTAAATAGTAACAGTTATTAGGGTTCCCAGAACAGTCTTCCTTTGTCTGTCTCAATTTTAACCCTACTTTGACCAGTTTTTATATTTACACCTAAAATTACTAAAAAAAGTCATTAAACTCTCACCTTTATTACCAAAGACACACTCTCAGACACCTCATTCAATCCTCAATTCTTGAGAGATTCTACCTATTATACATATTTTTGAAGCCACAATGGATTGACTGAAGAGCAATTAAACCTCCTGCTTCATACAGTTCATGTCTTGGGGATCTGGCTGGGCTTGGGCTCACATGTCCTTCGTGTTCTCAGTAAAGTGACCCTTCTTCACCAGGGCTCAAGCCTCACCTTTTTTGTGAGGTCTTTCTGGGACCGCCCCCCCAACGGGCCAGGGGTTCTGCCCACTGAAGTGCTTTGTTGCCACTGTGGCCATCTGCCTCCTCCTCCAGATTCTGAGCACCTCACTTACAGAGCTCTCTCCGCAGGTGTTAAAACTTGAGGGCCATGCCTCAAGTTTGGGCTTTGCTGCAGTGAAGGTGTATGTACCAGGGAAGCATGGGAGAGATGTGGGGTGGTGTTGGCTGGCTTTCCCAACTCAACCACAGCCTTACTAGATGCTGCGCTGTGCCAAGGAGAAGGACGTGGGGAGGCACCATCTCTGCTGGGAAGGTCTGAGGGTCTGAAAGTTTCTGAATGGATGTGTGGGCTGCCAGTCTGCTTGCAGAAGGGACGTGAAGGCCACTTTCTCTGGTCCCATTCTGACTCTTCTCTCTTTGTCTTTACGACATGCATAGCACGAGAAGCACAGTCTATCCTGACAGACAGGGGACTGTGTTTTCCCCTTTTCTTAAGTTAAAATCATCTGATCCACCTTCTCATTCCCCTTGGCAGAGGGGGAAACCACAGGAGTCTTCAGCGAAGGTCAAAATACTTGTCCAAAGTCATATGGAAAATGGTAAAGACGTTAGAACTCAGGCTTCCAGCATCTCCGTGTGCTGTGATTCTGAGGTTAAAATGAAGAGGGAAAGCCTATTTGAGGCTGCAGCTTCAATCTTGTTGTCCCCCAGAATCGAGCACATGATCTGGGTGGCCCCATGGTTCCCCTGGCTTTATTTCGTATGGTATGTTGCTACTATTGAAGAAAGGGGAGTGTTGAAAGCGTTCTCACCAGAGGTGTTGTAAGGATATAGCAGGAGGGCCTGGTGTGTATTAAGAAGTTTATTTTCCTTAGGAAAGTGACAACCAACTTGGAGACATCACTACAGCTGGGGTCACATTGAAGGAAAGGTAGGTGCTGTTTTGTTGGAGACATCACAGTGGGAGGGGAGGCCAGGGTGTTCCCCCTCAGCTCTGCCGGGAGAGCCGGGGCGGGCACTGGGTAAGAAGGGCCTGGGGTTCCACATCAGAGTCCCCCGCCTTAAGACAGGAGGGACTGGTCTCTGGTGCCTTCCTGGCCCCCAGCTGACTTCCAGGCCAGAGAGGCCCAGCAAAGCAAACCTAAAGGGACTGAAGAAAGGTCCCAAGGAAGAAGGCTGCCGTGGCCGGGCCCCCCACTGGGGCGGTGCAGGAGAGGGTGTTGGAGGAAGGGGGCTCTCAGGAGAGAAGAGGCAGGAGCAGAGGGAAGGCCAGGAGCCCCGGGCAGCGCGTCCAAGAGCGCGCGGGGCTGGCGAAGCGGCGGGCCACCTCCGCGTTGGGGTTGCCCCGGGCGGGCTCGAACCACTTCTGCAGACATCGCCCGCTGCCCCTGCGCTCCGGGCTCGCCCTGAAGGAGCCACTCCAGATACGCTCACACAGGTCGGCAGGCGTGGGGAAGTGGTGCGGGAAGGGGCGGCAGGAGGCCCGCTCTGGGCAGCGGGGCTTCCCTGCGGGGGCCAGGCACAGGCCACTCAGCCACCCCCGTCTGCGCGGTCCCGGGACTTGCCCTGGGGGAGACCCGAGCTTGCATCTGCCCGGGAGGAGGGGGCATCTGCCCGGGGGAGGGGGGCCTCTCGGGCACTGCCTAGCCTCACTCACCCCGACTCCAGGCCCAGCCGCCGAGCCAGTTGGACTTGCAGGTGTGGGAGGTGCGGCAGTCCGCCCACCAGCGCTCACAGTCCTCCAGGCACAGGGGCGCGTCCAGAACCCGCTCCGCCTGCCCGCGCGGGCCCACCTGGGTGCGGCACAGCAAGAGGCAGAACTGTCAGAGCATCAGTTTGAAGACTGTCTACAGCTACAGTGATAGTTGGGTCAGGTACCATTGGAACATATTCTCTTAACAACACTGCTAAATATTTTACAAATGAGAACAAGGAGGCTAGAAAGTTTGTACACAGCTCTCTTCCTACAGACAGGAGAGGGGACCCAGTGCCTCGATCCTTCTGTTCTCCCGTGACCGCTCTACCCGCAGGCCGTTCTCTAGGGTCAGAGGGAACTTCTCCGTCCTTCTCTCCAGCGGCAGCCTCTGACTCTGCTCTTGTCCATGGCTGTCTGCTAGCGTCTTGGAGCTGAGCCTCTTAGGCACACCGGTGGATGTCAGGTGGGCCCTGATGGACGTGCGCCTCCCTCCGGCTCCCCCACCCCCAGCCCACCTCTCCCCACCTGCTGGATCCAAGGCCCCAGGTTGGGGGAGCACTGGTAGAAGCAGATGGCCTGGAGGAAGTGCCTCTGGCAGTCCGGCATCATTAGTCCGCAGTGAGCCAGGCTGAAGTTGTAGAGCAGAGACACGTCCAGGTGTGCTTCCCAGCTTGTGCTGGCCGTGCAGCAGGCATTGTCCTTCCAGGGGATGCACTGAGTACAGACCAAGATGCGAAAGCCATGGGAGAAGGGGCGGGGGGGTGATGAGCAGGTGGGCCATCCGCTAGAAGATGACCCGGCAGGTGGGAAGTTTTTAGGTCCGTGTCCAAGGGGTGGAAGGAATGCTGATCATTTGTCAGTGTCCTCAGTCACTCAGTCGTGTCTGAGTCTTTGTGACCCCATGGACTGACTGTGGCCTGCCAGGCTCCTCTGCCCTTGGAATTTTCCAGGCAAGAATCCTGGAGTGGGTTGCTGTTTTCTACTCCAGTTTGTCAATATTCACACCCAAAGGATGCCTGGACACTGGCCGCTCTGCCACAGACTGCACATCCCCTAGGGACGGGGCTTTCAAGGTCTCAGATCCTGGGGCCAGTGGGGGAACCCAAGACCCTTGGAAGTGTGGGATTGCACTAGAGGAGGACGCCTGCAGCCAAGAAGGGCTCACAGGAGCATGCCAGCCCTGGTCTTCATCCCTCATCCCTGTCAATCGCCTTTAGGAACTTGGGGAGGAGTCTCTTAGGTCTTATTTTTTCCCCCAGGGCCTGCCGGTGGGAGGGCAGAGGAGACAAGCCTTGCTTGTTGGAATCTAGGCTGACCACTGATGAGTCTCTGGGATCACCATCCGCCCTGACTCCGAGTGGCCAGGCGGCTCAGGGATGGAAATATTGAATCAGTCAGCATTTACGGTCTCAAAGGTCATAACCCCCTCCAGTGTGGCCTTTGCCCACATCTCCGTCTAGGGACTTCCCCAGTGGCTCAGACAGTAAAGCATCTGCCTACAATGCGGGAGACCCGGGTTCAATCCCTGGGTTGGGAAGATCTCCTGGAGAAGGAAATGGCAACCCACTCCAGTACTCTTGCCTGAAAAATCCCATGGATGGAGGAGCCTGGTAGGCTACAGTCCATGGGGTTGCAAAGAGTTGGACACAACTGAGCGACTTCACTTTCACTTTCTTTCCGTCTAGGGAACCAAATGATTCAAGATGGATAGGGGTTCAGAAACCCTCTTGGTTTTTTTGTCTCTTCCCTGATCTGCCAAAGCAGTACCCACCCCCCCCAACCCCCACACCAGGACTGGCCCCCTTACCTCCTCATAGAGCTCAGCCTCTGGGCCGGGCTCTGGCTTGTGGGGCTTGGCATTCATGCAGACGTTGAGCAGCTCACGCCCAGTGCATGTGGGGGGCACTGCCCACAGCCCCAGCAGGAACTGCCACCACCACCCCATGGCCTGCCACAGAGAGGAGCCCTGCTGTGATGGGCAGAACCCTTCACTCCACACCCTGTCACCCCTGGAGCCAGCACAGGCTTCAAGCTTCCCTCAGACTCCGTGACGCTTGGGCTGCTTCTAGGATCTTTATCTGAGGGGGCATCGTAAAATGTCTCATCCCAACAATGTGCAGATGTCAAAGCAGGACAGGGAGGGAAGAGACCAGCCCCAGGGTGAGGGAGCGTTGGGGTGGACTGGCTCCAGCTTTCCCGGAGACCTTCTCCGGCCCTTCTCCACATGGAGGCAGCCTTTCTAACTCAGTGACATATGGGCTGGGAATTCAGAGCTCCGACCTTGGGTGAGTAACTCAACACACACTCAGTAAGCAGACTCTTCATGGGGCCAAGGACACAGTGGGACTAGCTAGTATGGCGAATGCAGTCCTAACCCAACTCCAGCCCCTGGGCCCATAGCTTCTAGAGTTCCCTCCTCAGTTCCCTCTGGGCAAAGTCCTTTCCTCTCGAGCAGTGAGGGATCCACTTCTACCATCCCTAACTCATCACAAACCCGGCCTGAGTATGGGGCTGGGGAGCCAGGCGCCCGGCAGCATTGCTGGCATCTCAGAGTAGGGAGCGTGCCCAGGCCTGAGCCATCGGGCGTCTGCCACATGCAAAGCCATGTCCTGTTACTGGGACAAGGAGGCCGGCTTTCCCCTTGATGCTTGTTGTGCCCTGTTTCCAGCTGTGTCCTGGGTAGTTCTCAGAATGGGAGAGAAACAAGCAAACAAAAAGGGCAGAGGCACACCCTGTCCCAGGCACACAGTCCTGCAGGAGACACCCCTCAGCCTTCACCCACCCCAGAGCATAGGCCCCACGCTTCTCAGGAACCCTCTGTGAACCCACCACGATGGAGCTGAAAACCTGCATCCCAGCTCAGGCTGAGAGCCTCTAACATCAGGGGTAGAGACCCCAGTCCCACTCTGGGAGCCCATTTGTCATTTGGTCACTATGTCGTGTCTGACTCTTTTGCAGCCCCGTGGACTGCAGCTTGCCAGGCTCCTCTGTCCATGAGATTTTCCAGGCAAGAACACTGGAGTGGTTTCCCATTTCCTTTTCCAGTTAGAGCCCATCCACGAGTCTGAACCTAAGGCTGTTCACTCTCCTCAGCACCAGTTTCAAGCACAGAAATGGCATGGGGTATTTCAAAGAAGCAGGGCATCAGGCGGACAGAGGAAAGAGGCTGCCCCTTCTAGTATTTTCTTCATACTCACTTTTAAAGCAGGAGCCACACTATCCCACCTCCAGAGATTGTAAGGATGAGGAGAGAGTGATGATCCTGGCTATTTATTCCTCCAAGGTCAGGTGCAGGAGCTGAGCTTCAGGTGGCTCCAGTTAGCAACACCATCTTACTCACGTGTCGGGGCCTCCTGTGGGCAGAGTCTCCCAGAGAAACAGACCATGGAGAAACAAATCCTGGGCTCTTTAGTTAGATCTTGAGTTCGCCTCTCAGCTCTGCTCTTTATTGAGAAACTGATCATGAGAAAATGACATAAACTCTGAGGGTCATTTTCCCTGTCTGTAGAAAAGGCTGTTATGATGGGATTGTTGGGGAAAAGAAAGAGAAATTTCCTGCAAAGGACCTGGCATTGAGCCTGGCAAAGAGTAAGTCTAAATGGTTTTTATTCTTTTTTTTTTTCCCTTCTACAAAGCATGTCATTATGCATGGGAGGCCTGGAATGCTACAGTTCATGGGGTCACAAAGTTGGACACAACTTAGCCACAGAACAACAACAATTATGCATTTATTTTTGCATTATAAAATTATGCATGTATTAAAAATAGAGGAAACAAAGAAAAGTGGGAAAGACAATATCTATCATGCTACCTCCAAAATGCTCCCTTGTGGCTCAGCTGGTAAAGAATCCACCTGCAATGCGGGAGACCTGGGTTCGATCCCTGGGTTGGGAAGATCCCCTGGAGAAGGGAAAGGCTACCCACCCCAGTATTCTGGCCTGGAGAATTCCACGGACTGTAGAGTCCATTGGGTCACAGAGTCAGACACAACTGAGCAACTTTCACAAGGTTTTGGGAAACATGCTATTTTGAGTACAAAAGTGCAATTTGAGTGCTCTAAATGGTTTTTATTCTTATCCTTTCATCCCACAAAGCCTTTCTTGCTCAGCCTTGTTCCAAAGCTCTCCCTGCCCCGTCACCTGCTCAGTCCCCTGAGATAGGTCACCTGGGTTGTAATGGTGATGATGTCCTTTCTCAGCCCACAGGAGCCAGGCTTCCTGCCACAGTGAGGATTCGGCAGCCCAGTGATGCAGAGATGAAATGGGGCCTCGGGAACCCAAGGGTTTAGATGTGTGCCCAAAGCCAAAGCACACAAAGCCAAAAAAGTCTCTCCAAGCCCAGGAAACAGCCTCCCTTGGCGTGCAAGGAACATTGAACTGTGAGAGAGTCTGCAAGTGGCCTCCACATTTCACAGCAAGGTCATACTCAGCTAAGGAGAGGCTGGAGACTTGGCCAGGACTCTTAGGAGAGTCCCAAAGATGGTAAAAATGCTGGAAAGAGAGCCCATTTCTTTGCCTCCTTCTTCTTTTTTTTATTTAAAAGAAAATTTATTTATTTGGCTGCCGTGGATCTTAGTTGCAGCATGCACAAGCTTTAGTTGCGATGTGTGGGTCTAGTTCTCTGACCAGAGATCAAAAGCAGGCCCCCTGCATTGGGAGCTCAGAGTCTTAGCCACCAGACCACCAGGGAAGAAGTCTCTTTGCTTGTTTTTTTGTAACAAGTTCCTTTTCCCTCTCTAAAGTAGTCAGTCACTGGCATTTTCTTTACACAGGATAAATTGAAACACAAAAAGAAAAGCATTTTATAAGTGAGGAAAGCACACTCTGTTCAACTACAAGGTGATGTGGAGACATGAATTAATCATCATGCTGGAAAATTACATTCTCCACACCTGGTTTTCCCAGCCACTGAGTTCTGAGAACCAAGAAGGACCCAGGCACCAGGCTAGGGCCTTCTGTACGTGGCCTGGCTTATTCCTCACAATTGCCCACCCCTTGAGTGAACACCCTCCCCCGTTTTACCTGTGGGGAAACTGGGGCTCAGCCAGGGAGTGGCAGAGCTAATATCTGAACTCAGGCAGGAACAACTACATGCCTTGCCTGAGGAGCAGGAGAGGGGAGCCCACCAGGGCCGACAGGGTAGATGCTATCTGGGTCTCAAGATGGTCTGTTTAAACAATAAACAAAAAACTCATATGCCATCATGTTGAGAGACACATGTGGGTTTTATCTGAGAACAGTGATGATTATAGCCCAGCTGCCCACATTTCTGCCTCAGAGTCAGGAGTCTTCTTTTTTGGGTCTGGTATGTGGGTTTCCCAGGGGTGCGGTGGTAAAGAATCCACCTGCCAATGCAAGATTTAAAGGAGATGTGGGTTCAGTCCCTGGGTTGGCAAGATCCCCTGGAGTAGGAAAGACAACCCTCTCCAGTGGATAATCCCATGGACAGAGGAACCTGTTGGGCTACAGTCCATGGGATCACAGAGTTGGACACGACCGAGTGACTAAGCACCGAGCAGCCGGGGTCTCTCCCCACGGCAGAGGAAGAGCAGGTGTGCATGTCGTGCAAGGCATCACACATGTTTGGGAGGCCTTCAGGCTTGACGAGGGAGTTTGGTTTTAATGTTAATTGTCAGATGACTGTGGACGTGACAGGGACAGGAACCCAGCCATGAAGCGCAGAAGTAATTACTGAGGTGGAGAAACAGGCCCTCTGTAAGTGTCCTTCAGATGGAGGACAAGGAGGGCCGTGCCGGCAACCCCGGGATGGGGGGATGACAGCAGTGCGGGCGGGGGCGGGGGTCACAGTGGCCTCTAAGAAGCCTGCTGCCCCACACTTGTGCCCCCAGAAAGACCGTCTTGCAGCCCATGAGATAAGCTCAGTTTTGCCTTATTGTTTTCAAGTCTTCCAGAGAGATCTGCTTTCTGACGAATCACTGATAAACCAAGGCTGGCTGCACATGAAGCCATTTGAAACTGCTGGTCACGATCAATTTTGTTCTTCAGCAGAACAGTTTCACTGCCAAGGGCAGAGCCGAGCAGCATCTGCTGGATTCTGATGGAGGGCAGGTGGCAGAGCCACCCGGCTGGTTGGGACCACAGCACAGGGTGAGCGTGACAGCTCTCTGCTCCCTGCATGCTGCCTCACCCAAGACGCTGCAGCCCCCAGACTTCCAGAATAGACTCAGAAAGCAAAGGGCTAGAGCCAGGAATCTCCTGGTGAGAACCCGAGGTCAGAGGCCAGCCAGAGGGGACACTGGTAATTGGGGTTCTTAGTGGACCTTTTGACTCTTTCCTCTCACCCCAAAGACCCCAAGAGCATCCTTGTCTCAGCGTGTAATTGGTCTATAGCTAAGGCAAGTCAATCAGGGCTACCACTTATCTCAACCTCTTCCCTCCCTCTAGATCAATCATCTCATTACCAAGACCATTGATTTAACCTTTGAGACATCTCTTGAATCCCAATGCTCTCATCCCCGTTTCTGTGCCTACTGTCTGGGCCATGACCATCTCTTGCCTAAATTGCAGCCAACAACCCTCTAACTGACTCCCTTGCTCCTTTCCAAAGCTGTATCTGAGCAGTAGCCAGAAGGATTTAATATGTGAGAATTCTATTATAAAAAAATTTAAACATAAGGCAAGTTGAGAGAATTTTTCAGCAACCCCCCACGTAACCACCACTTGGTTTTGCCATCACTATTTTACTCTATTTTCTTTGTCACACATCTAGTCAACCACCCAGCCCTCTAGTCATCCACAATCTTATTTTTCATGCATCTCAAAGTACGTGGCAGACATCTGCAGACTTCCTCCTAAATAATTCAAGCATGTATATCATTAACCAAAGTTCAAAGTTTGTCTGCAGGTGTTTTTTCTTTCTTTCAGAATGAACTTTTTAAAAGGTAAAGATGGTTATGATACTGCCACATTTAAGACCTGTTAAGAC